TGGCTGCGCGGGGTCTCGATGCCCGCTGGACGCTGCCTGGGCCGGGGCTCGTGGCTGGGCGGCTTCGCGTTGGCAAGAGGAACCGCGTCGCGCCGGGCCCCGCTCTCCGTTTCTGCGCCGGGGTGTGCGGGTCCTGTCACACGCGGGCTCTGCTACACCTCCGGGTTAACGCTGCGTAGAAACCAGCTGCGAAGTTGTTGCACGTTTCCGAGCACTGCTTTTGTGGCTGCGGCTGCTGGCTCTTCTCTAGCTGGCTGGACATTTGTTTTGCCTGATAATTGCTGTGCACGTGTGGCCGCGCTAAACTCATTCACCAGTCAGCTGCCTGACGTATGTAAGGTGTAGCAGAGGCCTGAAGAGTGGTATTGTATGCGCTTGGCCAGGTATTGCCTTGAGGAAATCCTTGCCTCTCACATAATTCCTGGCTGTGAGATCTCTCTAATGCCAACCAGACACTAAAAGGATCCAGCAGCTTTAATTTATTAAAGTGCTTGTTGAATGCAATAGGTTGCTTAAAAAGTGCAGGGTGTTAGTGAAAAGTAGATTTTTAAAGTCTGCAGACTATTTTCTTATAGTTTGAACCTTAAACAAGAGGTTGCTTCTAAATTTCTTGTGGTTACTCGAATGTAATTGTAAATTTTACATAAACAAAAGTGTTTATCTTTTTAAGATTAAAGTTTGCATTTTCCAGTTTTGGGAGGAGCAAAATCTGTATTGCTTCATGTCTTCCATTTGTGAACTCTTGCAGAAAAAGTCTCTAGAGTCTATAAACTCAAGGCTTCAACTGGTTATGAAAAGTGGTAAATATGTTCTGGGGTACAAGCAGACTCTGAAAATGATTCGGCAAGGCAAAGCCAAGTTGGTTATCCTCGCCAACAACTGTCCTGCTTTGAGGTAGGTACATGCTTATTTTGGAAAGCTGAATGAATAAAAACTGACTGTAGTTCTAAAAAGATGCTTTGTTCACATTTACACTGTACTAAACCCCCATAGAATAAATACTATAATGTATAAAACTAGCTGAGTTCTGTGGAACAAGTATTTATAGTGTTCTGGAAGCTGACAGTTTGCTTTAGACAGCAGGGCTGGATTTGTAAATCAATTTTGACAATGCTGCCCAAGAAGTATGTGGTGTGACTCAAACAGCAAAATAGCTTATACACATTTAGTCAAAGAACGATGTTCAGTAGCTTTTCATATTTAATTTAAATCTCTTTTGTAGTGCTCTAATAGTGATGTGGGTTTGAAATATTTGCAGTGTTAAACTTTTTTATGCTGTTCTATTTTTTTCCCAAGCACAGCTGTGAACTGTGAAGATTTCCAAGCAGTAGTCATGGTTCTGGGATAAGATTTTACATGGTTTCTACTCCTTTTCCTTATTATCTGGTTGAAGTTTCCAGCTGTGTGTGCTTGCTCACCTATGCGGCAACTCTGACAATTCTGCATCCATTTCCTCAAAAGGAAAGGCATCCAGGCCTTGTAGGGATTGTAGGTTGTGGAACAGGGAAGTAGGTTAATGTCTCCTAGAACCTGCCTTCTAATCTCTACTGTGGGGGCTGGTGGAGAAGTAGTAGTCAGCAGTATTTGCAGCTGATGGAAATTGGGATGGAGGGGAATGTAGAGGTACATATGGTGTGGAAGAACTGGCTGCAAGACATTTTAGTGCCTTTGTCATGAGCAGCTGGATTAATCCTGCTCACCATCTGGCTATTTAGCCCCCCAGTCCTGGTCAGCTGCAGGTTCCACTGATCTGGCCATCAGACACTCTGGTTTTGTTCTGTGCTATGTTTGCATCTGGATGGCTTGTCCTGGATGAGGCATTTGAGTACCCACACCAGCACTGTCTGACTCAATTCCTGAAAAATGACTCCTGTGTCCCAAAAGAAAATCTATGAGGGGCTGGAGGAAAGGGGGGTAATAATTTCTCCCTGCCCCCTCCCCCCCCCCCCCCCCCCCCCCAGCAGTGAAAGAGAGACCATTTTAAAGCTTACAGACTTACTTGAAAATTACTGCTTATGAGTGTCTCCAGATGAATCCTCATTTTCTAATGCCTAACTTTTGACTTTCAGAAAATCAGAGATTGAGTACTACGCTATGTTGGCAAAGACTGGCGTGCACCACTATAGCGGCAACAATATTGAATTGGGTACAGCTTGCGGAAAGTACTACAGAGTGTGCACGTTGGCTATCATTGACCCAGGTATGTATGTATATATTGGGGTGCTGTAATAAAGCTACCCCTAGGTCTGCATTTTAACTTCTGCCTGTGTTCTGCTTGTATCCCCAGCATATGCTTAATTGCTTGTCACTACCTAAAACTAGGAACCAGTTAGCTGAGCATGACCTTTCTGATGTATTCTTAAAATCCTCTCAATTATACAGCACCCTTTCTGTACCAAGCTTGTTTGACCTCTGCAGCTTGTACCAGAACTAAGACTAGATTTGCTTTCAAAATCACTTTTTAAAAGTGGCATAAATAGTTAATTCTTGGGAGTATGAATTTTAAACATAGAGGGCACGTCTACATGTTGCTGTGCTTTAGTACTTCCTTTTGCTGTGCTGTGTGTGTGGTGAACAATTAGATTTCGCTGCTGTATCACTGTAGTAGCGCACTATACTGGAGGAGGGCACCACTATGGCAGTGTAGCTGGTCATCATGTGTGGACTGCGTGATCGCTGTCACCATAGCATGTCACTATCGCTATAGGGCAACATGTAGTCATGTGCAATAAACAAATATGGACATCAGTTTGAAAATAAGATTGTAAATTTGGCTTTTGTTGCTAAACTTCTCCTTATTTTTAAATTATTAGCAAATAAAGTTAAATAAGAAGTGACTGGCAGTATTCTCTCTGGAACCAAAAATTCCAGATGGTCACCTCAAGACAATTTATTGTGCCCTGTTTGCCCCTAAGCATGGTTAATTATTAAGGGGTCCTGTTCTGGTACTTTTTGGTCAGTCTCTTGATTGGTTTTACTGTGTTTTATTTCTCTTCACCAAATTCTCTTCATCAATCTAAATTTTCACTTACCAAAAAAATGTATTTTTCAAGTGCTGTGGATCAAGCAGGTGTGTTTTGGGGTGGGGGGGTTTTTTTTTTAAGAATACTTCAACTTTGACTTGTCATATAGAGTCATGTTAAATGTTGATACTTTATTATAGCTGTTGCACCTGTTTAAAATAAAATGTACATCAGAGTTACTGTTAAAGTTACTGCGAATATTCTCGCTGTCCTGATATTTCAGTGATCTGGGCAGGCTAGACATTCGCTATATTAAAACTGCAGTTTGCCCCAGGGCTAGTTTTTGCTTCTAGTTCTGGTTTTGGTGATGCTAGTGACATGCATACAATTGCTTGCTTTCTTTTTTGTTTTGTTTTGTGGAGGAGGGGACAGTATGTTAAACTAAATACTACATTTTCCATAAATCTGTTGACATTTAACACTTGCCTTGATTACTTTCCTTGTAAATACTGTACTCCAGCATAACTTGAAATAATACTATTTTATTGGAATCAGAATGAATGAACTACGTTTTGATAAGAGAGCTTTTTTTCAGAACTTACAGTAGATTTAGAAAAAGAAAGTATTGGCTTCTGTGCAGTCACAAACATACGTTTGGAAGCCAATGTTGAAGTAACTGTTGTATAATTGTCATTGGAAAATGAGTCTTGTGGTAGTCCTATCTGAATATGAACCTTTTGTTTTACAGGTGATTCTGATATCATTAGAAGCATGCCAGAGCAGACCAGTGAGAAGTAAATGGTGTAATGCTATCTGTCTTTCTATAATAAAACTGGCTACAAACTTGTTTTAAAAAAGTCTGTATAGTGTTATGTTGGTTTTGGGAAGTTAATGTGCAATAGACTCATACCTACCGTTGCCAAGCTGATCACTTTTTTGTCCTTTGGAAAATATTATCCAAAAGCTTTCATAAATAGCTTTGGGCTTCATGGTCAGGGTTGAGGGAGTAGAATGAGAATAGTATGGGGTAAGAAAGCTAAAAAAAAAACTCGTAAGTTTTAAAACTTCATTAAAGTACACAGTTAACAGGCTTAGATGTCTGTAGGAAACCAAAATAAGACCATGAGGCAGGAAAACTCTTTATATAGCAGTAAGTTCTCTTCTTGGAATGGAAAATTGTTCTGAAAATAACACATGGAGAATTTGCATAGCACGATCTAGACATAGATCTTTTATAGTGACTACACCAAAGACCTTCAGGTACTTGAAAGCAACTTCTAGAAATGACTGTTTATCCCTCTAAAAATAAGAGCTCTTAAACTCGAAATTGGCATGTGGAACTTGAGGTCTTTGAATATTCGTTGGGGTTCTTCATCTGTGCTATAAGGAAGCCTAAATTGTAACTAGTGCTGCTATTAGAAGTCTCTAGATTTTGTGCTCTGCTAGTGTGTGTGTGTGTGTGTACACTTAAGCCTGTGCTGCTTGTGTTTGTATTATAATATGTGGCTCCCCAATCATATGTTTTCTCCACTTGTAGACTAGACACATTTTGTATAGTAGGCTTGGATTCTGAAGCCATTACAACAGAAAGGATGTTACAGTAGGTGGGAGAGCTTGTTAGAGTCTCTGAACTTCTCAAGAAGGTTCTTGGGAACAGTTGGTATCTGGAATTGATGTCCAGCGGGACATGGAGTAACTTGCAGACACTGGTGAAAGGAGTGATATTCAAAACCTCCAAGCTCATCTTGAGTTCCTTTATTTTTATTTGCACCCAGCTGCCAATGATGGCTAAAAGTGGATTAATGATTGTAATAGAGCACAGTAGTAGTGTTCTGAGTGCTTTACAAACAAGTATAAGGCAAGAATCTAGTGACCAAAAGTTAACATTCCTGGGCTCAGCCTGTTTACTGGATTTTGCTCAAGGACTGAAGCATTAGGCAATATAAGACAATCTTTGTTCTGGATGAGGCAGCAGACTGATCCTGGAAAGTTCGGGGCTGCTGGAATGGTACAAGAAACTTTTCATTTAAGTTCTGTTTTATGTATTTAACTGGAAGGCAAATAAAAGTCCAATTTTTATATTGGGGATAGAAATTAGTGAGGAAAAACTACAAAACTAGCTTTCTACACATCATACTGAAGTAGAGCTGGAATGGGCCTCACAAGGTCAGCTAATCCAGTCCCCTGCTCAAGGCAGGACCATCCCAGGCAAGTCTGTATCTAAACTGCTCTTGAAACTTCAGGGATACTTCTCTAGGTAGTTCCAATGCTTGACCCACCCTCATAGTTGGAAAGTTCTGCCTAATCTCCAACATAGCCCACTTGGGATTTGCCTTTAAATCCAATTCATTCTGCACAATGTTGTTAGTTTAAGAATATGAGGGAAGGAGTAGAGTGCAACTAATGAATTTAAAAATTGATCAATGTAGTATTCTAAAATGCCCACAAACACCATGAAGCTCTCCATTTAAAAATAAGAATATTTTATTTATCATTGCATAGCTTATTTCCACTGTTGCGTTAGAATTTTGGCTGGTTACTAAACTATATATGCTCATCTCAATTTTTATCTGCAATCAATGCAAACTCAGCATATAAATACTGGGCCCAAAAACATTTCATCCTCGGACATGAGGAAGTGTGCTATGTAGCTTTGTATGGCTTTAACAAAATAGCTCTGTTAACAACTTGTATAAATATACCACATGTTTATATACTTTTAAGAAATGCTCATCAATATCTTAGTCTGTCTTCCAAAGCTTCCATCCTCTTTGTTATTTCTTCCAGTAGGCATAAGTTAAGGTGGAAAAAACATACCTTGCACATGACTTATCATAAAACAGTTTGTCTGGCCGTCTAAAATAATCCAGTGTTTTGGGGGGTTTTTTCAATCTAAAACATAGGAGGTAAAATTCTTCTAAAGGTAGTAATATGACCAGATCAGTGCATGTTAAACTTACAAACTTGTTTCTAACCAGCTAAATGCTATAGTTAGGCTAAATGTGCTCTGCCTTTGATCACAGCTCTTCCATATCTTTTTACTCAACATTTTGGCATGTTACTCTGACACTACTGTCATTGTACTTTTTGCTGCTGCCATGTCTCAGACTTGTTACAGAATGAAAAACACAGTTTTATGTGTTTGTTTTTTTTTTCCCCCCCATTAAATGCTAGTGGTTGTGGGCTTGTAGTCTTGTTTTCTGAGATGGCTTTCACACTACCATGTTTGCCTCTTCTAAAGTTTTTGGTTTTTCCCCTATTTCCTCTGGTTCACAGGCCTAGCTGTAAGAGCACAAGGAGCTGTGAAGCTAAATAATACTGCTAGTACAAAAAAAAAATTGAGTTCCTTTTATCTGCAACAGCATTACTAACTTAAAAAGAAATAAAAAAAAGTGTCTACACACAAGCTACAGGCCATTACTTATTAAGGGATTTGGTTAATTAAAAAACAGGATAAAATAAGCTTGTATTGCCACTGAATGAGCAATGCTTGGCCCTAGCTAAAATAAAGCAATCCTTCAGGGTTTCAGTGTCAAGCAGTTGGAGCACTTGGTTTATAGTGGGTTACAACAGAAAAAAGAACCTTGTCCTACATCTAGGCAAGGGGTGTACTGAAAGATAATTTATCTGTAAGTGCTTTAGATAACTTTTTATTGAGCTAGAAAGTTTGAATCCCTATTCTAGTGCTTGGGGCACTTGAGAGGAGGGAACATATAAGAGGAATAGCAGCTGCTGTCACTACCATTGTCTTTGGGTCTGAGCCAGGAGATATTCTTAGGGATCACCTGGATCAGGCCACATAGGTAAGACAGGCTATAGGAATGTTTTTACTTTCCACATCCTGTCAGGGCTTGATTATGATCAAAAACGCTGTGAGACCTGTTGTGGTCTTAATTGTTTGCAACAGAATTGCTCTGTTTTTTCATGGTCAAGAAATTTAGTGAAAGCTAGGAGCAGGCACTTCCACCTTTTCTAAGGGGTCTAAAAAGGTTGATAACCACTGGTCTAAGCCTTCAGAGTCCATGCTACTTCAGCTTCCTTTTAAACATGTAGTCATGCTTTAGAAAGCTGTTGTTCTTGTGCCCACGTTTTGGTGTTTGCCACCTTTTGGCTGGCTTTGGCAAAGATTGCATGCATGTATAACTCCTTGAAAAAAATGCTGCTCGTCTGTGTAGATGTTGGTTTTTTTACCTACTGTTCTTCATCCTCAATACTTCTCTTTACTGAAGGAGAAAAGTGAGTAGGGTGTCTGTCTTATTTGACTACTCAAACACCTTTCACAAAGGCATGGAAAATTCTTTCAAAGCACTGAGGTAATGGGGCCTCTGAAAAGTATACACACATTCAACAGCTTTGTATTTAACATTGTAAGTAATAGGGCTTGTTTTTAAAATCAGTTGGCATGATTGTTTTGGTATAATAAACCATGCTTTTTTCATTTGGAATATTATTTTAAATGACTCCTTTCATCTGAACACATTTCCTTCTGTTCTGCCAGTGTTCTGATATATAAGGGTTTCTTGCTTCCAATAATCACTATTCATCGTTATCCATGGAGGATTAAAATGAAATGGAATAAAACAAGACCAGTAACTGGTCAAATTCAGTTTCCATTTTCATCACTGCCTCTAAAGATTTTTGGTTTGCTATTCAGGGGTTATGAACAATGAAGATAAACTCTATTAAAGAACATTTGGGCCCTTTCCTGAAGGACCAGCTGATTCAAAATCTTAAGAACCTTGCCTCTGGCTCACTTCCCTAACACCGCGCTGCTTTCTGGGTCATGGAGTACTCTAGACTCTGAACTACAAAAGCATGGTTCTGGGTAGCATCCTCTAAACTTTTTCCCCTTCTGCGTAACTTCCATTATTTCTTTGATCTAAGAAACATTCAGAAAGGATATATCGTTGGGTTAGTTTTCTTACTTCAGTGGTTGCATAGTTCTGGAATGTCACAAGACTTTCACATTTGCAGTGGTCTTTATCTTTTGGAGGATTTGCTGGAAAAACAAACATTTTTTAAAAGCAGTGATGCATAAAATGACACAGTAGTGATGCTACTAATGCACAGTATATTCAATGTAGCTTCCTTGCATTGAAACATGGAATAATACCAAAAGGATCATTTAACAAATCCTAATTGCATAGAATTAGTTGCATTAATTGAGGATTGTGGAAGAGTTAACTGGGGTAACATGAAGAAACAGGTAATAGAGGGTGCTATGGCACAGGTTATCATCTAAAATTTTCCAAACTTTGTGCATCTTTCCTAATCTGTGATCAAAAGGCCTGGTATCTAAAAATTATGTAAATGACAATTACCTGATGTGCCTATTGTTTTTGAATGGCTCTCTTCAAAAAGATACTTGTGGTGTACTGCAAAATTGGAGCAGGCTAGGAGGTCTGTGATGGTTATGGTAGCAGCTTCAAGTCCTGCAAAAACAAAAACACCCCAAGAAACAGATTATACAACACATCTGTTGTATTTTGTCGACAATACTACTTCACGTAAGGCTAGATTATACCATGCTTATGGCAGACTTCACTAAGTGAACTCATCCATTTTAGTGGGAGCTATTTATGAAGTACTACTCAATGGATTTTTATTTTACCCAAAGAAGCTGAGGATTTCAAAAACAACATTATTTACTCTAGTGAATTTAGGCCTGGATTGTAGATGGAGTTTCTGTTAGCCCCCAGCATTTTGGATCTGATTGACATAATCGTAAATAAAATTAACTATAGCTGGGGTAGAGAAGCAACAGCATCCAAATGAACATGGTAGTAAGGTGAGAGCATGCAGCTTTGGAACAGTTTCTGAGCTTCGCTGCAGAAGTTCAGGTGTGGGGGGGAGGATCTTTGTCCAAGTCTCCCTCTAGGTGGTTGGCTTACCCTAAAGAAAACTGGGCAAGGATAACTGGAGTGGGGTTGGGGAGGCAACATGACACAGGTCTAGGGAGCAGATCACCTAGTTAAAGCATCTAACCTGAAGAATGTTGACCAGGCTTGGGAGGGCTCCCTGCTGATGCATCCTGATCTTCCAGAGCTGCCAGAAATAATGGATGAGATCATATTCAGAGAAATGCAACTGTGACTTTGCACAAACAATTCTGATATAAAGAATAAGACCTTTTTTTACTAAATAGATTTTTCTTACTAGCAGCTTATCTCCCTGTTTGTGGTGAATAGGTAATGATGATTCTTACCATGTAAACGAGAGAATGCAGTGTTGCCCTTAAGTGCTCCAACAGAACCTTTTAGCTCTACTTACCAGAAATATTCTGTTGCTGTAGTGTCTCTAGTTTTAACGCTGCCTTCAGAGAGAATTAACTGAAGCTGAATTCTCGTTTAACATGGGGGAGCTGAGTGAGGCAATAGGTCACTCGTACTGCTTCACAGTTCTCATCAAAATGGAAAGTAGCAATTGGCAAGTCACAGGATAGGGGAAGGCAGGATAAAGCAGAATTTTAACTACCACAGTAGGATAATAAACAGAAATAAACAATTCCATCACAGCAAGAACTGTAGACCCTTTTATTTCCTCAGATGTGAGTGGTACATTTCCCCCACCCCCGACTTAATACCATTAGATATTTTGTAGCGGGAGCCCTTGTTCCCTCTGATTGGTTTTCAAGAACTGTAACATCTTGCCTGTAGTAACTGGTACACTGGATAGACCAAGCAAGACAAGTGAGACCTTTACAGCTGTGAGGGCCAATTTTTGTTACAACTTTCTAAAGGAAGGCTAAAGACTACTAGAAATGATGGAACTATTTCCCAAGAGCTCTCAGGGTTTTTTTGCATTTTGTGAAAAAGTTTTTCCTTGCATCCACAGCAATACCTCCATATCTATCTTCTCGTATAGAATATAAACTGGTGCCAAGTCTTGGAAGTCATAGCAACTAAAAAAGCTGGTCTCAGGCATGTATAATGAATAAATGAAACTGCAGTTGACTTGGCTGTAAATGAGAATCTGGTCACTTTAGTTGGGGAGTCAAGTAGATGGATGTGTTGCCACCTCCATTGCTTTATTGGGTGCTGTTGGCCAAGTCAGTATAAACACACTGACTTGATGGGCTGATAGGCTCAGATGGATATTCCTACAGTGTTCTGGGCACCTAATTTCAAGTAGTGGGGTCTCATTTCTAGAAGTGCTGAGAACTCTGTTTTAACTTAACAGGAACTGTGGTTTGCACATAAGTGTTACATAGTGCTAAGTACTGAAAAGTTAGGTTTTGGGTGTCTGAAATTGGGCACCCAAAATTACTTTTGATGTTATATGTTTATGTAACTCAGTTAAACACCAGTTAACTGAATATTGCCAGGTCCTCAAGAGTGCTGTGACAAGAAATTAGTTCATATTAATTAATTAATTGGGTAGCAGTCCCATACAGTAGTCATAAGCAGCACAGAAAAGCCCATGAGGAAATTAACCATCTTTAGTAAATACAGCCACATTTTGAACAGTGAGAACAAAACAATATTTAATAGCTGTCAACTGAGGACAGCCCAGTTTCTTGTGTAGGAGAAAAGCCCCAGAAAACACTTTCTTGGGATAGAAAGGGGAAAAGGATGCCGTAAACCCCAATTTTGTACTGCTTGCTCATTAAACAATATAAATCATAGCCCTTTAGCTTGTAAGAGCAGGCTAGGATGGGTTTTCTTCTATTTGGAAATCCTGGTTATGTTCCTGGTTCAGTCTGCCTTGGGAGAACCATGACTTCAGGTTGGGAGATTAGGGATAAAGCTTTAAGCTTCTTATGACTGAAAAATCCCTACTCTGGGTGGTTGGTTTGTGGTGGCAGATCATAACTCACTCTAGGAAAAGCTGTCTGTGGAACCTGAAAGGACACCCGATACATCTCCAGAGAGAACAGAAGGCTAGAGACCACCCAGTAATCCCTTAGCTGAGAAGCTGAAATAAAGTTGCTGGATGTACAAAAAAGGACACAAATCAAAGTTACAAAACAAAGTGATCCAATGAAAGTGAACAGTTGACCTGTTCCTCTGCAGGAGGCAGGAATTTCTGGTGACCTGAGCTGAAGGGAAGGAGTTGGTCTTGAAGTATCCAACAAACCCTGGGCTGCCTCTGAATTCCACAATGCAAGTCATTCCCCTGGTATAAGTGAAGAACGGGGGAAGAAGCTGTACAACAGAATAGTGGGACTGAGACTCACTGAATACTGGAGGACAAGTTTCTAATTTAAAAACACTAGAGGGCAGGATTGACTTGAGTTTTTCTAGCAAGTCACATTTCTGAAAAAGTAAATGAAATATATGGTGACTAAATGGTGCTACAGCTACCTCAAGGGTATATTTTCTGCATGGACTGCCAGGGTAGATAGTGTACAGAAATTGGTAGGGTAGCTGCCAGAGAATTTTGGACTTGAAATCTTGCCATGTTTTTAAGTGTGTCATCAGCTGTTTGTTGGTCCAGCAAGAGGGTTAATTTTATACATATTATTTTTCTGCAGATCAGAGGGACCTAGCAGTAAGACATTTAGGATTGAGGCAAAGGCAGAGAATAGACAGTAAAAGGTTCCTCAGATTCTTTCCCCCCTGTAGTGTGCTCTCTTGCCAGGCAGTTTTGTACAGCAGAACTACAAAACAAACAAAACTTTCCCGTTGAATGATTAAATGCAGTGAAAATGAAGCAACCCCTTGAGATTCCTGTGCTTTGGTCTCCTGTTACACGAAGACTTTTCTGAATGCTGATTCAGAATGATATATGAATGAATGAGTGACACTTAAGGGCTAGGAGTATTTGACTGGGGCAGAGAGTATAGCCTGGTCCCTGGTGCACAGATATCCCTTCCAACTCAGATTCCCTGCTGTTTTTACAAAGGAGCTCACAGGTGAGTGTCTCATACTTGTTACATAATGTGTGGATCAGATTCTGAGCTGGAGAATCAAAAGACCTGGGATTATGTGCAAACTGAGGTTCTCCCTGTTTACTTCCTGATTATATTAAACTACTTGTTTTGGAAATGCTAAAAAGAACCCTTAAATACAAAGCTACTAATACAGGCCTAAGAACAATTCAGGTTGCTCAATAAAACATAAATAATTTTGAATATTTTCCCCAGTGTTCTAATGAACTAAATCATGTTGCTTTAGTTCAGCGAGTTGCTGATCTAACTGCAGCACAGAGGAGGGGGAGCGTATATTCCCAATCCTTTTGGGTTTTAAAAGTGTATGTTTTATATATGCCTTTATTGGAATTGAGAAAAGAAAAGGAAAAAATGATCTGTGCCTTTGGGCCTAGATTAAGATTTTATGTTCTTCAAATGTTAAGCAGTCAAAGTATGACTCTTGCTGAGTGACTCAAGTTTCTCATGTTTCAGATAAACCGCTATGTGGTATATCCTGGGCCTGTATTATGAAGGAGGTTAGATGACATAATTCTAATGTTCTGTCCTGGTTCTGAAATCCATTACTAGAAGTAGCTACAGTATTTCCTTTTCTGTTTCCCTTTTTCTCAGTGAAAGTGGCATATGTTACCTTCACAGATTTGTTTTTTTAGCTTTTCACTTATCTCCCCCATGGAGCTGAAATCCTGAGCATAGAAGAGATGCTTGTCTGATGGCTCAGAAGCAATTTCCCGCAGTTCTTCCTCAATTGCTTTTCCTATTCCAACGGCATAGATGGTTATACCTGGGTGCAAAAAAAAAAAAAAATGCATGCTATTCCTAGAGCAACATTCAGATCCTCTGCCCATCTGAAAGGAAAATGCAACTATTAATTAATTACCTAGCATCACAAATATGGATACAAAGATGGTGTTTGGATAATTCCAGCTACACATTGCTTAGGTGTTGCACTCAGCGGCTCCACCACCAGAACTTCTGGTGGCAGACAGCAGCTTCCCCACCAGGTTGGGCAGACAGTGTGCATGCTCATGTGCTTCTGGCCAGTCTGCACAGCAGCTGGGCCACCACAACACAAAGGGCACTTCAGGAAGGCATGAGCTGCTGAATAGGCCTTGGCAGCTGACTGGAGGTCTGGTAGTGTTTCTCACACCATCAGTTGGCTGCTGGATGGCAGCAGAAGCCTTACTTTGTTTGTTGAGATACTGTAACTCTGCCAGCAGAGGTGCTGCACACACCAGTGGCAGAAATATAGTGCAGAGTAAGCCCTTAAGTTCTGTGTTGTTCTAGTAATGGAGTGCTTTACTGTTGATTTTATTAACCAGAAATGTTCCAGTTTAAGAAACCCTAGAGGCTTGGCTACCACTGATAAATGAACCCTGAAAGAGCAGATGCAGGGAGAGAGAACAGTTTGGATCAACCTAAGCAGTGGCACTGACAGCCCCTAGGAGGGAAATTGGGACATTACATACACACAAGTCTTTTAAATTTTTTTTTATTTAAGGCAGTGGTTTCTAGCTTGCTTGGTCTCCTGGGCCAGTTTTGGACTATTGGGCTCCATAGGTGATAGGGCAGGCAATGGCTTTTACCCCTCTGGGTACCTGAGCTATTGTATTGACACAGGGATACTGCCACCTCGAGGAGCTGCACCAGCCAGATCTGGCCCATGGTCTGTATGTTTGAAGTGCCTAGTTTCAGGGGATTAATACTCTTTTTCATCCTGAGAGCTGGGCTGGGGGAAATAGCTCTCAATTTCCTCTCACCAGAGGGATGTCAAACACACTATGTAAGATGCAGCACTCCTCATATCCCTTATTTCAGCAGCTGGCAGGAAACTTGTAGTCTAACCTGAGTAAAGTAGAACCTGAATCATTCAGAGCTGGGTAGTTCACAACCCACTTAGTGGACAGAAGGTTGCTGAGGCATATATTCCAAAGGGCACCTCTTCTCCATGCAGATGGAGCGCAGCTATGGCTGTGCACAGCTGACTGGAATGCCCTTTGAAATAAAAGCTGCAGCTATGACACCTCAGTGATTCCCCCATAGGGGTATACAGAGCCACAGCAACTACCTAACTAGTTCACAAATCTTCATCTTCAGAAAAGGGTAAGGAACCTACCCTGAGAAGTATCCAGGTTCTACTATACTTGTTTCTAGTTATGTCAGGCCTGGCATTAGAAAATGCCCTCACTGTACTGATGTCCTGGATTTTTAAGAATAATGTTTAATGTTGACCTATCAGCAAAATGTCACTGTGAAATGAATTCATGATATTTGGCTGAGATCCTAGCTGTTTTGAAAAAACAATGCAGCAATAATCTTTCAAGGCTGGAAGCTCTTTGTAAGAAAAAACTTCACATAAAAGGCATCAGATAGCCATGCCTCTATGCTTTGTTTCAGGTAAAATGTAGGATATGGAGTTTGCATATGTTCTTTCTTTGTTACTGGTTGATAACATCTGAGTACCCACTCTGAATTCTATCTCTTGCCCTTCTGGCAGTGCAGAAGGGCATGATGATATAATAAATACATCTTGTCTATCTCCTATCTCCACTTTCAACATTGTACTTATTTTATAAGCACTGTCCTTATTTTCTATGAAGATTGTGTCTGACATTGTGCTAGCCAGGAAAATAAAACATCCAACATATTACAAAGGCCGATTCAGTTTAATGAACGGACCATTCATGCTGAAGTCTGTTGCTTTTTAAAGACTTGTTGATATCAGTAATAGAACATTCAGGGCCAAATTCATACTCATAGAGACATAGCCTACAATGGGATTACACTGGGGAGGTATTTGGCTCACAGTGTCTCACATGCAAGTATATGTGATCCAATACTGATGTGTTCTTTAGTAAAAGTGGGGCTGACTTGCACTGCTTTCCAAATCCTCTATTCACAAAGTCTGCGTGGTTTGATGCAGACTTCCAGACCCTACTTATCTTAGTACTAAAACCATGAGTTTCCAGTTTAATTTTCAAAAGTTTAAAAAGGGGCATTCTATGGATTTTTTTGAGACTGCAAGCTGTTGTCCCTACTCTGAACATTACCCCACTGCTCCTTTCTCATCTCCTTGTAATTTTACTTCCTCCCTTTCTTCTCATTAGAAGAGGGACATCACCTGGGCTACAAGAATTGGTGTCACTGCTTGCATTCAGCTGTGCATCGCTTGATCAAGTAATAAAGTGGGAAGTGATAATGGATTCAAGTATCCCTAGGGGTTTGGCAACTGTATTTGTCACAGTCCATCACCCCAGAGTATTAGAAGAACTGTTAATAAAATAGGATTTGATTGTTTTGGGGGAAAAAAATCCCCCCCCTTTTTGTGGAAAGTTTGCAATTCTTACAGTCAGCTCTGCATGCAGAAACAGTGATTCTTGTTACCGGTAACTGATCAGAATGGATTTCTGCCATCTCGCTCCTAGAGTAGAATTTTACAGGTATACAGAACCATGTTTACTGGTCAAAATCGCCAGTCTTTGTTTAAATCTAAACATAACCTGTCATGCGGCTAGACAGACCTCTACATGCTCCTTTTTCCCTACAAGGACAGTAGATAGGGACAATAAAGCAATTTATAATTAATTCCAAATCTGTGATGTACTCTAACAATAGTAGTATGTAATATGGCATCTCTGCCAGGTTGTTCTCCAGTGGAACAGTGCATGTATGGTATTTTGAGACTGTGTGATAGGAATATTTAATTCTTCATCCAGATTAAGTTCCTCTATGCATACATCCAAAGCATGGCACAATATTCAAGGTAAGCAAGGAAACTATTGTGTACTGAAGTACGCAACCCCCGAAGGTTCAACATGTAATTCTTTGTAGTAAAACTGATTCTCTCCGGCAGAGGCTGCAGCAGTACATGCATTAGCCAGTGTCTTGATTAAGGTACATGGGAACATTTTATTCATAATACTATCCTTAAAAACAGTGATGAAGAAATTGCAGCTTACCATTCTGCTTTGCTTTGCCAGCCCACTCAGAGACTTCATCTTGGGCTCGTCCATCTGTAAACACAATACAGACTCGAGGGACCCTTGATAAAAATGGCCTTGCTCCTTCTGCTTCAGTAAAGCTTCTCTCAAACATTTGTTTCAGGGCTAGTCCAGTCATGGAACCTTTCCCCATGTATTTCATTTGGGATACAGCCTTTTTCATTTCCTTGGCTGTGTTGAATTGTCTTAATGTAAACTCTGTGCGGACTTGGGTGGAATACTGAAGCAAACCAACTCGAGCAGATTTGGGAGAAATCTCAAGTGAATCCAAGATTCCAGAGACAAACTGTTTCACGATTTCAAAATTATCCTGCCCAAGACTTTTTGAACCGTCAATCACAAACACCAGATCAACTGGGCCTTCAGTACATCCTGCATGAATAAGATAAAAGCAAAAAATTAAGATAGCAAGACGGACCAATAATTAGGGCTTTAGTCTGGAACTTGGCACCTGCATTAAACTCCTCTCCCGTGAGCCTGAGCAAGTCAATAGGGCACGATTTTCAAAGGTGTTTAGATACCTACGTCTCACTTACAATTAATAACAACCTGTCCTTACCCTGCAGCTCTTTCCAAGCCCTGTGCCCCTAATTGGGGAGCCAGGGCCAGGAGCTCCCTGCTGCTGGGGGAGGGGGACATTGTTCCTGGCCCAGTGATCCCTGCCAGCTCCTGAGCTAGCACCCAGTTGGAGCCTGGAGCCCCCCCTGGTGGCACCATGGGCCCACTGCAGGGCTGTAGGGAACTGGATGCAAATCTGTTCCTTAATTCCTGCTTGTGTAGGCAGCTGCCAAAAACCCTTACTTTGGAGTATCTTACACCAGAGTAAATTTAGGCCGGAGTAAATGCACGTGTAGACATGCCCTTTGTGTTTTAACCCCATTTTGTAAAACAAAATCACTGGTAATACATTGCTAAGTCCCAGGAGTACTGTGATGCTGAATTCGCTAATGCACTGAAAATCTTAGATATTACCTTGACCAGTGCCATGGCAAGTCTTTAAATCAATGTACTAATAGTTCATTATCAATTTAACAAGAAATAAATTATTATAACTTATTATGAAGTTTTTCTCTGCTGAATATCTTACTAAAATAACTATATTTTTTATTTCATGTTACTATTTATGCTGTCTTTTCATCTGAAACTTTAGGTTTTTTTCCTTACTACTTGAGTAAGGCATAAAAATAGTGAAGAAAATTAATGAGGATTAAATATCATTACTTCCAAATTCATCATTCCCATAGAAATGGACTCTTACTGAGAATGGACAGAAAAAAAAAATGAATACATGTGTTTAAATAGTTTTAGGTCATTCCTGTAATATTCACCATCAAACTTCACAACAATTTTTGAGGGAAATTTGTCTGGGGGAGGACTGAGATTCATGCCTTTATTCTGAGACATTTCCAATATTTCCTTTGTCTGTACCAAATTAACTTTGACTTCTTAATTTTATCAGCGTCAGGATCAGCAGACTCAGAATACTGATCTGCTAGGCCAGGGGCTTGCAAAATATACCCCAAAGGGTAGATCAAGCCTGCCAAGCACTTTCATCCAGTCCACAGAGCCCACCAACAAATTGTGCCCTGCCCAGCCCTTCTGCCAGTGAGGTTGGGAGCAAGGCATTCATGCATACACCCACCCCCCAAACATACCCTATTGCCTTGCTTCCACCCGCATGGGGGGGAAGGGACTGGCCCGGCCAGCATTCAGCTTCTGTGCGGAGTTGCTGCTGCCACTGCTCCAACCACCAGGGACCTACTCTGCTTCTCTGGTCTCCTGCTGGCTCTGGTCTCTGGGCAGCAGGTAGGGAAGCAGCAGGGTTGGGGCTGCAGCTGGGTCTGAGCAAGCGTAGAAGTTGGGGATGGAGCTGGGGCTGGTAGCAGTGTGGAGCCCGTGCCCAGGGGGGTAGTGGCAGCACAGAACTTGGCTGGGTGCCATGTGGGTGTGCGAGGGAGGAGGGGGGAGTGTGGGGACCGCCCCCCCCCTCCCATACCACACAGCCTTAGCAGGTGTGGGCAGCAGTGGCAGCACCAGGTGGGGTGCTTAGGGTGCAGGCGCCCAGTGGGGCATGGCTCCAGCCAGTGCTGCACATCACAGTGAGGGATGCAGCCTCCATTGGGCCACCTGTATCGCTGGCTCTCTGTCACTCAGCAGCTAGGCTGTTTTGTTGATAATAACGTATTTAGCATATTTTTCATGGTAACACTCTAAAAATTAACCTAATATAAATATCAACTAGGACTTTGTCCTGCTTACAATTTGGCATAGCTATTCAGAATACAACTACATATTGGGATATAGCTGTATTCTTTAAGTAATATAAAACATTGTTATTGCTTATATGTAACTAACATTTAAAAGATAACTTCCTTATATTGTTTAGATGGTAACTCATTGTTGCACTGCTTATTACAACTTGAAGAAAGAGACAAGTGATCTTTTGTTATATTTTGCAAAAGACTTCTACTGACTGCTGAACAGAGTATGGCACACAAAAGGCCAATGGAGTTAGCTAACTGAGTTGTCAGAAGAGGAAGGTAGGTGTGAAAGATTCCAACTGCTGGACTCCCTCTAAAAGCAGGTGGGGGAGGTAGCTTGTGTGTGAGGCAGCTGACAACACAAGCACTTCTCCAACAAAATGCAAATGGAAGCTAGTAGTCTCAAGATGGAGGTAGCAGCACTGCAAGAGCTGGGGCCAGGGTAAAATCAGCTGATCCATGGAGAAGACTGGCTGTTGACCACTTGGCTATCACAACCAAGTCCTCTATCTGTAAAGGTCAGGAAATAAAATCTCAGGGAACATCTTGCTACTTCGTTAAGCAGTAGGACAACTGTCAGGGGAAGCCATGAAAACTTTCTTTGTAGGTTTTCAGGAAGAGGCTAAACAGCTATCCGCTTGGGATGGTACAGGAACTGTAAAATTATGTGCCTGTGCAGAGTTAGACTAGATGGCTCATGAAATCCCTTCTTATGGGGATATCCCACTGCAATGCAATCCTGGTGGTAAAAGAAGAGGAATGTATCCCAGTTGCTAGGAAGGAGGGACCTAATATCCCAAAGGTTAGGCAGCTGTTCTACAGAGGAGAATCTGGTAGATATAGTAGATCACAAACCTAGTGTTAGTCAGCAATCTGATCTTGTTGCATAAAAATGAAACCTCATTCAGGGATATATTAACGGGCATAAAATATGCAGGAAAATCATTACTCTTCTTTAACTGGTACAGGTAAGGCCTTGGCTGAAGTACTGTGTTCAGTTTGCTCACTGTAAGATGTAATTGGCAAGAGTCCAGTGGAGAGCAATAACAACGATTACAGGCTTGTCTCGGCTGGCCAGAACCGACTCGAGGTGATTAAGAAATCGCTCGTTCGTCAGGGCGGGCTGGTGAATGGAGAGGCAGACAAGGTTTAATGGTTGCAAAACGTTTACTTGCGCCGCCTGTAGTTGCGACGCAGCTGGTCCGGTCGTCTGAACAACCACGTGAGTTGTTCCAGCTGGCAGGGCCCAAGCCAGGGA